GTGCTGAGAAGTAAACCTGTTGGAAAAGAAGCATCCCTGGATGATACAATCTATGTAGGAAACACAAGCAAGTCAGCTGTCTCCAATTCCATGTAGTGGTTGGAAACAGTGAAGTCTCCAAGGTGTGGTGAAGCTCTCATGAACTCCAGAATGAAAGCGTGCAGTGTTTCAGCCACAGACCTTCTGGAGCTCAAGTAAAAGCCTCCAGGGATCTGCTGTGACCAGGTCTGTACCACAGGGTGAGTTTGACTGGAGTGGGGAGGACACAGGGGAGGACCTGGAGTGGCACGTGGAAGGAATGGGATTTACTACTTGTAGCACAGACTTGAGAATAAATAAATCCAAGCTACCGTTGCAGAATTAGCTGAAATTTATCTCTTCTGTGAGAAAATAAATAGAACCACATAGAACACATGAAATTCTGGGTGTGGACAGAGGAGGATGGTGAACTGATTATCAGGGTTTTTTGAGCACAGGTCATTCAGTCGTGCTGAGAAAATGCTGCCTCTTGGGGATCCTTTAGCCAATTTAATGCTCTGTACAGTGGAAAACTCGAGGGGAACCCAAGGTCCTTCTGCAGGGACAGAGCCATCAGCAGGTGAGAAGAACATCCAGACACATCTTGACACTCTGCAGAACTTCTCAACTCGGTGCGAGAGCTTGATCTTTCTCTGAACTCATTTCACACCCAAAAAAGAGCTGAGTTGTCTACACTTAACAAATCTTCTTTGGCCGTAACCTTTGATACTGAGATGAAGTTATCCTTAGGGGAAATAATTCTGAATTTCAGGGTATAATTTTAGCCTTTTCTCTGCTGCAAAGAATCGAATAAGAAGCATCTGAAGGTGTGAGGATAAAAACCTACCAAGGAGCCATCCAGGATAACATGGGCATCGCTTCTGCTGCCTGCCCCGGAGGTCACTGGGATGTATCAGCCCCACAACCATGGGGCAAAGCTTGGGTGTCTCCCCAGTGTCTGGAATCGTCACCGCTGCTTATGGGATCCTGTTGAAAATGTGGGGATGCTCAGGTGGCCACACTGGGAATCCTCTGCAACCTACAGGAGGTCAGGCAGGAAGACCCAAAATGATACCTCCTGGCTCAGCGTGTTCAGGTGCCGTGTAGTGACTGGGTTTGGGCTGTTTCTCCCCAAATCTGTTTGGGTAACCAAGGCTGTAGCCGTGTGCCACACAGGGCTCCGTGCCATCTCTCTGGGCGGCCAAGTCAATCATCCCTGAGACACGCGTTTTGTCACCCTTGCAAACAACACTTGTTTTCCTGCCTGATTTGAAAAATGGTTTCGGTTTTGGTGTTTTGATTCAGTTGCACCAACAGGAAAAACTTCCTTTGCTCGCTGACGGTGCGTGGCTTCTTGGGTTCTCTATGTAAAGTCTGGAATTTAATGAACTCTCTCATTTATGAAAGAATGCATTAACTACAGGTCAGCAAAGTCTGTTTATTGTGTTGCTTTAGCACGGAGAGCTATTATTACCCTCTTGCTTTTAAGGTGGCCTGCTTAAAGGTAATTATTTAGCCTGTCCAAAGCCCTGCAGAAGTGCCAGCACCACCTCGGCTTGTTTATGTTGAAGATGCAGGTCCCAGGTCACTCTTACCCCCGCGTCGCCCTCGGGGTGGCTGCTGTTGGGAATGAAATGTTTTTCTTAATGTTCTTCTTTCTCACTTCTCAAAGATTGTCATGTGGTTTCCCTGGACTTGTCATTCATTCAAAATAAATTCAAAAAAGATATTTTCTTTTTTTTTCAATTCCCCTTTTGGATTGAAATTCCAGAGTGTTCTATAACAAGCGTAGAAACCATGAGTCTGAATCTATTTTTACTCTTTGACACGATCCCATGTCTTTTCCCACGATAATATTTGTAATCAGTGTGGGAATTTATACCCGGGTTGAACCATGAATTGTGTAAATGCCTTTTTTTTTTTCCTCTTTTTTTTTTTTTTTTTCCTCTTTTTTTTTTTTTTTTTCCTCTTTTTTTTTTTTTTTTTCCTCTTTTTTTTTTTTTTTTTCCTCTTTTTTTTTTTTTTTTTCCTCTTTTTTTTTTTTTTTTTCCTCTTTTTTTTTTTTTTTTTCCTCTTTTTTTTTTCTTTTTTTTCCTCCTAGGGTGGAGAGGCAAAGAGCACATCAGGGGATGCTGTTTGACAGTGAGCCGGGAGGGGAACTCCGGTACTAACTCATAATAATAATAATTGGCCTGGTCCAGCCTTGGAAAACTGCTCTTCTTGGGCATCTCTGTGGGTCTGCAGAAAGGGAAGTGCCCAAAATGTTGGGAAATGGACGAACTCTCAGTGCTTTTAGAAGGTTCATCCCACGTGTCACGTCCATCGTTGGTCTTGAGCATCCCTGGCAGAATCAAGAAGTGAATCCAAATCGTCAAACTTCCTCCCAATTAAAAGGTAATTGGTGGCATCCTGGTGTCTCAGGCACCAGACTGTTCCTCATCAAACATTCAAAAGCCTCGCAGTTACCCAGAGAGGAAAATGAGGAGGGAGGTATTTTTCCACCCCATGGACATGGCACGTAATTACTGTCGGCAGCTCCCGGTTCCGCGTGGCTCGTCCCCGCGATGGCTGAGAATTCCTTGATATTCAAAGAGTGCCCCGACCACGTCAGCTTTTCATAAGATGATCACATTATGAAATTATGTTTCACACCTGGATATTACAGTGCACACACACACTTTCATCACGTATGGGACCGTAGTTTGCTCTTCTCTGATACCGTGCATCAGAGGACACCTGCAAATTGAATTATTTCAGGGTGATTACCCTAAATAACTCCGTGTAGGGTCCATGTAGGGAAACCTGTGTTGTAGCACAAAAGTACCTTACTCTCCTTTATCGTAATCCATTTTAAGCGTGGATTATGCTGATGCAGAACAGGGCCCTCCTATTTTGGAATAATTTTAAATAGGAATAGTTTTTGTGCTTTCAGCTTACACCCTGAATTATCCAAAACAGCTTTGAAGTGTAAACAAGCCTCTAATGTGTCTGTAGTATTTCCATTCTGCTCCCTGGCTCCTCCTTCTTCCCTGACTCTTCCTTTGGGAAGGTCCAGACCAAAACCAGACCTGCAGAGCCTGTCACTGAGGTCTTTGCTTTCACAAACCTCATACCAAGGGACGTTTCCAATCCCATTCCCAATTCAAATCCATCCCTAAGCTCTTGAAGGGAGTATCTAGCTGTGAGTTTCTGACTCTGAGCCATCCACACAAATTATATTAGTACAGAAAATGTTGTTTTGTGTTTTTTTTTTCACAATTTTCTAAAAGGAAAATCCCTCCCCTCTGGAAGCCTGTGGTCCTTTTTGGGGACTGTGATGATTTCTCTATTATCACCAGCCTATTCTGCAGCCTCCAGAGAAAACTGATGGGTACAGCCTTGAGAAAAGTCCAATATAATACTGTACAAACGCACGTGCCATGCACTATCATCAGTGCTCTGGATTTTTTTAATCTTTATCTAACAATTCCCATCATTTTCTTTGCGTTTCCAAGCTCCTGTGAGCACGAGGTGGCTGTTCTCAGAGTCCTGCCTTAATAACGCCACAAACGCAGCAGCTCATCGGGAGCCCTTCATTGCATGTGGCTTAGTGGGGTGATTTTATCTGCTAATTTATCACTCCTTGTCTTGATACCACGAGGTCCTGCTGCAGCTCCTCGCAGACAGGTTTAGATTTGACTGCCCCAAGTAGTTCTGGAGCACCTCAAACACATGGGTTCATTATTCATCCCCGGCGCTACCGGAGGCGCCGGCGGCTCGGCCACGATGGCTTTGGGATTTGGGGGCATTAACTCCAGCTCCTGGCACCCTCCGAGCACTTCATTTGTGACTGCACAGATCAAACATCAACCACGGAACCAGAGGAGACAGTTTGTAAAAATCTATATAATATTTCACTATAAAATCTATATAATATTTCACAGAGGCAGAAGGATCCTTGCTCACAAAGACGATGGAGGTGCTTCCTTCAAATAAAAAGAGGTTTATTGAGATAATGAGAATGACATCGTGGTGTGGGTGTTGTACATCTATTGCAGCATTAAGAGAAACAACAGCAAGTACAAAATCCTGCAGAAACTTCTATAGTCATTATCATCACAGCCTATCTTGTCCATGCTACAGTTTTGTGGATCCAAAACTTCATTCCCATTTCTAATGGCAGAAAATCCAAAGACTTTCATCTTTCAAAAAAAAACAAACAAAACAAAACAAAAAACAAATAAAAACTGAAAACAAACAAACAAAAAAAAAGGCAAAACAAAACAAAAAACCGAAAAACAAACAAAACAAAACAAAAAACAAATAAAGCCTGAAAACAAACAAACAAAAAAAAGGCAAAACAAAACAAAAAACCCCCCTCAATTTGATATAAATAACTTGCACTGGACATTTTAAAACTTTCAGCTTTTAATTACACATAAATAAATATATACAGATTTAGAACAGTTCAGTTTGGCCTGGTTCAAGTTCTGCTCCTTGTGCTTTATTAATTATTATTAATTTTAGAAACGTGTGTGCTGTTATCTGTAGGTTGTGGAGTTTTCATTAGTCCTGGGTTTAACTTCACCTGCTTTTCCCCCCGCTGGGACCGCGGCCGTGGGGACGGGTCTCTGCCCGGGGAACCGTGGGGTTCATTCTGGGGAAAATCCACCTTGAGTCTCAGTTTGAAAACTGTAAACGAAGTCTGAAACTGCTTTACATCCCAAGCAGTTCTGCTGGCAAATCCTCTCTTGGCCTGGCTTTAGGACTGGGCTGCAGGTGGGGAACCAGGAAGGTTTCCCATGTGGTTGCCTGTCAAAAGCAGCTGATAAATCCAGGTACCGTGATCCAGCTCCCTGCCCTCTGCTGCTCCTGCCTCTGCCCTGGATGAGGCTTTTCTTCTTTCTTCTCAGTTTTTCAGTTGGAAAAAAATTCCTGGAGCGTGTCTGGATTTCACTACAGGATTTGGACGGGTCTCTGCCCGGGGAACCGTGGGGTTCATTCTGGGGAAAATCCACCTTGAGTCTCAGTTTGAAAACTGTAAACGAAGTCTGAAACTGCTTTACATCCCAAGCAGTTCTGCTGGCAAATCCTCTCTTGGCCTGGCTTTAGGACTGGGCTGCAGGTGGGGAACCAGGAAGGTTTCCCATGTGGTTGCCTGTCAAAAGCAGCTGATAAATCCAGGTACCGTGATCCAGCTCCCTGCCCTCTGCTGCTCCTGCCTCTGCCCTGGATGAGGCTTTTCTTCTTTCTTCTCAGTTTTTCAGTTGGAAAAAAATTCCTGGAGCGTGTCTGGATTTCACTACAGGATTTAAAAAAAAAAAAAGCAAAAAAAAACCAAAACAAAATAAAATTGCACATGACTTGGCTTCCTGCATCATCCACGATTTATCAAATAAAATAAAAAAAAAAGGCAAACCCCCAAAGCCATTAACCTGGCTTATTTTTTTCACTCTCACTATGCCCATTGGAGTTGTTTTCTTCTTAAATTCTTTAAATCTTCTTTTTTATTATTATTATTTTTGTCTTTTCTTTGTTTCCTTTACGAGTCTCAGCCCAAGTTCAACCGTAGCAGTTCAGAAAACAGTGCACTGGATCATCTTTTCCCCCCAGCCCCGGTGCTCTCACACGGTGACCGGGGAGAGGGAAGGAGACAGCACCTCATTTCCGATGTTTCACTTCTTTTTCTGAGGCTTTGGAGTCTCCGGCCGCGTGCCCGTTCCCCGTGCTGCTCAGGAACATTTTATCCAGCCCCTTGAGGGACTCCACCAGGTAGTTTTGGAAGGCGGTGAGGGCGGCGCAGATGGCCGGGCCCCCGAAGCCGTGGGTTATCAGGCTGAAATGAGTCAAACAGCTCTGGACACCGGGCTCCAGGATGAGCGAGGGGCGGCTGTTCCCCAGCGGAGAGCGATCCTGGGCTATCAAGTCTGCAAACTCTTTACAAATTTGCCTGCGAGAGAGAGAGAGGTTGGTGTTACTGTAAATGCTGCTGGGACGCGGTGTTTGGGGTCTCTTTTCCCATTCCCTGCCCCAGCAGCTGCCTCCCCCCTGGGGGTTTTCAGCTCCAGCCTGAGGACATCGTAGCATCACATCCCCTGGGTGCAGAGAGGGAGCTGGTGCCCGAGTCAAAATGCTCCCCGGGGCCACGTTACCCCCTCCTGTGTCAGAGCAGCCCTTCAATCCGTGCTAACTATTCGCCTTGCTGCCTCTCCCACATCTGTGAGCAGTGTGTGAGGCCATCTCTTCCCCACAAAAGGGGAAGCTTTCGGGGCTAACGCTGCCCTCCTGGGCTGCTGGTACTGACCACGGGGTGCCTGGTTGCCATCCGTACTCACTTGGTCGCCAGCAGCATGTTTTTCCTGGTGTGGAGCTCGGCGGGGTCGGAGTGCTGGCGGCACAGGTACTCTGCTGCTGCCTTGGCTGGGAACTCCGTTTCACACACGTAGCCAAAATCCCGAGCCAGGTGAACGGCTTCACCTACGGGCAGGACAGATGGACAAGCGTCAGCACCCTCCTCAAAGGGAACCACTTTCTGTGGCCACTTCTCACCGAGGTGCCTTATTCCTGCTGGGACCAGAGCACTTCCCTTTCTCAGTTGTCCCCAGGAACTCTCTCCACCTTCGGCTCTTGGTGCAGAGACACCACTACGAGTTTCTTACGCTCCTCTGTCAGACAATTGCTCCACCTGGGTCTAAATGACCCATTTCACTGAATTTTTAGAGTTGGAAGGGACCATAGAGATTGTCTAGTCCAACTCCCCTGCCAAAGCAGGACCACCCAGAGCTTGTCAGAGCATGTTACTCAGGAGCATCCAGGCGGGTCTTGAAAATCTCCAAAGAAGGGGACTCCACACCCTCCCTGGGCAGCCTGTTCCAGGGCTCCGTCACCCTCACCCTGAAAAAGTTCTTCCTCATATTCAAGTGGAACCCTTTATGTTCCAACTTGTGCCCGTTGCCCCTTGTCCTCTCACTGGCAACTACTGAAAAGAGTCTGGTTCCCTCCTCCCTCAGCCTGCCCTTGAGATACTTGTAGGCATTAATAAGGTCTCCCCTCAGCCTTCTCTTCTCCAGATTAAAGAGTCCCAGCTCTTTCAGCCAGCTCTAAACAGAAGCTGGTTCCTTCTTTTGCCAGATTTAATAAAGCATCAGGATGGTGCTGGAGTTAGAGCAAGACGAGGGGTGACTCTGGGCTGCTCCTCCAAAAGGGGGGGGGGGGTTCTCACTTGGGCACTTTCCTCGCTCCATCTTTCTCTCCCCGCTTCTTCCAAAAATTCCCAATTCAGCAGAGATTTAAAATGGGGCTGGAGAGTGAAAAAGCCACTTTAGCCCCGTGACCGCAAGAGGAGACGGGGCTGTGAGAAGGGGGCAGGAGGAAGGGGGTGACATCCTCCCGTGGCGAGCGGGGGCCCTCGGGCGGGACGCGCCGGCAGCGTATCCATCACCCCATGGAAATGCCCACCCACTGATGGAATTGATCCATCTCCAGGCGTCCCCGTGGAAATAATCAGAGCTGATGGCAATCGATCATGCCCAACACCCGAAATCCCGGTCGGGCAGGCAGAGCTAATTTGACTTGCCCCCCTGCTGCTCACTCGTATTAGGCCATCCATCCTGACAGCATTAACCTAGATCCCATCCCAGGCTCCCCAGCTCCTGGAGCTCCCTCTGCGGAGCCACGTTATGGGGAAAGCATCTGAGTTTCTCCTAAAATGATAACACTTTCCACTTTATCTCCTCCTCCAAAGAAAGAGCAAATGAGGTGAACCTGGAGAATCAGAGCTGCAGCTGTCTGTGTGTCAAAAAACTATCAGAAAGTAAGAGCTGCTGAAAAGCAGTTGTTGTGAGGATTAAAAAGGGCTGTGACCTCAGGGTGAGAGCTGAGGCTGGAGCCAGGATTTATTTCCACCGTGAGTGTGGGCGACTTTTACAGGCAATTTAGGTGCTGGCTCAGAGGGAGATTCCTGTGGAGGGGACAAGGAGCGGGAGCCCAGGGGAGCAGAGGGATCACTGTGGGGGCAGGAGGCCAGAGGGACCACTCTGAACACACACCTCTAGCCCTGCTGCTCCCCTGGGGCCCTGCTGGAGCTGCTCCCACCGAGAGGATGCCCGAGAGAGGGCCAGGGCTGGGGGTAGGTGGCAAAGGCTCCCCAAGGAGGCTGCGTTTCTACCTGCAGCCTTTGCAACACTCCCTGGGCTCCCCAGCACCCGTTCTCCCCCGTCCATGCAAACAGCTGTGGGTCAGTGTAAGAAAAAAATCTATCATTAAAGTCCCTGGGCTCCCCAGCACCCGTTCTCCCCCATCCATACAAACAGCTGTGGGTCAGTGTAAGAAAAAGTCTATCGTTAAAATCTATCACTCAAAAAAGCACCCAGTTTTGTTTTTTTTTTCTAAATGACCAGGCGTTGCGAAGGGAGAGGGGAGAAAACAAATTAAATCAAGGCAGCAAATGTCCAGGAAAGAGGGTGCCTGGGGCAGAGGGGCCAGTTTCTGTGAGCAGAGTAATGACAATGCAATAGCACCTTCCTCCGGGTGACACGACTCCGGGTACCACCACCCTTACGTGCAGGAGGAAATTATATCCATCAAGCACCCTTTTATTTACTATGGGCTGGTAAGCGGTAACCAAAACATCAGCAGCCACCTGAAATCAAACTGTACGTTTCTTCCTTCCTTTCTTTCTTTCTTTCATTCTTTTCTGTCTTTTCTTTTAATGGAAATCAGCCTTTCATTCAGCACGAACCAACTGCCCTCAGTAACAACCTCCGCCTAATGAAGCGGGTCATTTAATTTGCCGGCAACAATGGAGATGATTTTCTATTCAGAAACTGCAGGCAGCTGCCTCCAACATGCTGGGCACAAACACAATGGATTCCGAAGCTGGGAGGGAGTCGGAGCCCTCGGTGCGTTTGTTTGCACCCCGTGCCCCTTTTCTCCCAAGAGGCAGCAGAGACATCATCATTTCCATAGGGCAAAAAGTAGGAGGGGAGCAAATAAACAAGCAGTTTTGAGCAGGGGCACCTCACACGTCAGGGCAGGTCACACCTAAGGGTGGGCCCCTCACCACAAAAAAGACATTGAGATGCTGGAGTGGGTCCAGAGATGGGCAATGGAGCTGGTGAGGGGTCTGGAGAAGAAGGAGAAGGGTCTGGAGAAGAAGGAGAAGGGTCTGGAGCCCAAAAAGAAGGGTCTGAAGCACAAGCCTTATGAGGAGCAGCTGAGGGAGCTGGGGGTGTTCACCCTGGAGAAAAGGAGGCTGAGGGGAGACCTTCTTGCTCTCTGCAACTCCTTGCAAGGAGGGTGTAGAGAGGTGGGGGTTTGGTCTCTTTTCCCAAGTCACAGGAGATGGGACAAGAGGAAACGGCCTCAAGTTGTCCCAGGGGAGGTTCAGATTGGAGATTAGGGAAAATTTTTACCCTGAAAGGGTTATTAAGCCTTGGAATGGGCTGCCCAGGGAGGTGGTGGAGTCACCATCCCCGCAGGTGTTTAACAGGTGGGTTGACGTGGTGCTTAGAAACACGACGTCGTGGTTTTTATCAGAGTCAGGTTGATGGTTGATGATCTTAAAGGTCCCTTCCAACCCAGACAATTCTGTGATTCTATGATTCCACAGTCAGCCCTCCCTCTGAGGGACGCTGCTGCTGACCCCCCGTCCTCCCGCAGCACCTCGGGGCTGTGCGGTGCCTCCTCCCTGTCCCCCCGGCCCCCGCTCTCCCAGGGGAGGGACACGGGGCATCTCCTTCTTACGGGAGATAAAAGATGGCCCCGAGTGATGATGGAGCCTCCCTGGAGGTGTTCAAAAGACGGGTTGATGTAGTGCTGGGAGGTATGGTTTAGTGATGATGCTTCTTGTTTGTTGTGTGGGTGTCTATTTTTGTCAGTTCGGTTGACGGTTGGACAAGATGATCTTTAAGGTCCCTTCCAACCTAGAAGATTCTGTGATTCTGTGACAGAAGGGGTCGATGCTGCCCCTGGGCTGTGTCCTCACTGGGTGTTTGGTGCTGCAGATCCAAGCTCCAAACCGAGCTAAACCCAGCGGTGAAACTCTTTATACCGCTTTATTCAAGCCTTTTTGTCCTGGGGTTTCTGCCAACCTGACTAAGCACCACGAGAACTGGTTCCCAGGCGGGAAGGACACCCTTAGATCCAGCCAAAAGGAAGCTCGTGGCCCCGTCCCGGCTGCGGGCGCCTCCCCCCCACGGGCTGTGACTGGTCCCACAGAAATGTCTGAGTTTGGGGAGACGGATGTGCTGGGATCAGCAGGGAGACTTGTGTGGGGACGGCCCCAGCCTCGGCCGGCGGTGACCACTGCCTTCTTTGGTTTAAGTGTTCTCATTTGTGGGGAGCTGCAAATGAAGTTTGGGCATTCCCTTCCTCCACAGGAGAGGGGAGACTCTCACCTTCCACGAGGGACGTCAGGAGGGTGACGTTGGCAGCTTTGCGCCGTCCCGCGGGGAGATTTAGCCCGATTTTCTCTAACCTCTCCCTTAAACACCGACCCCCATTTTTTGATTTTGCCCTGAAAAGAGAAAACAAACGGGGGGGGGGGGGGTTATCATTAATTTAAACGAAAAA